GAGCCGAAGTCGGAGGCTTCACTGACTGAGCCACCCAGGCGCCCCAATAACAGAACTTTTAATTATCGTCCCAAACTTCATTCCTCCGCTCCATTTTAGCTCCTAGTCTCTCTCATGTGGTCTTTGGGAGAAGGGAAATGGAGGACTTTAACCCCTCTCTATTCTTAGATCCAGGGATCTAGAGACTTCTCAGTCAGTGTAGGTACCCATGTACATGGGGGAGAAGGAAGATCTGGCAAGTGTGAGGAGTCATACAAAGAGGCCAGGAACCCAGGATATCTGGCCTTTTCCAGGTGACCTTGTCCCAAGTTCCTGGGACCCGGGTGTCCTGAGCCAGCCTTCTTCTGGCTTCTTCCACCCCTTAGGGGCCAATGCACAGGAAGAGAGCAAATTCCAGGATGTTGGAGACGAATATGAGGTACCCAGTCCAGGACCAAACCCTGGAATGAATGGTGACGGGGGACATGGAGACTTGTTAGCAGGCGGGCTAACCTGGGACTCTAGAGTGGGTGGGTGTAAAACTCTGCAGCCCAATCAGAGGCCCTTTTTACTGGTGGGCGGAACCTGTTATGATTGGTCTAGTAGTTTCTGTCTGTGTGTACCATTTATGAAATCAATCTAGAGGACTTAAATTTATGTAAGCACATACATTAAAATCCAGCCCACCAAAAAGTAGCGAGCTTTGGAGAGAAAGGGTGAAACAGTGATAGGGAAAAACTAGTTGGCACTCGCTCTGGTATTGATGAAAGTAAGTTAAATAGTTTCAAGTGGGTCGCTCTGGGCCATATTATGTTATCTAGACCGAATCAACACTGGTTTTAGTTGAAGGGACGGTGCTTTCAAAGGGATTCTCCAAGCGGTAGGTGGAGTGGCCGTGGCTTCAGCGGGACGTTATTAGTGGTTAGTGGTAACCAATGAGGACTTGGCTGGGTGGGCCCCTTGGAGGTACTGGCCAATCAGCAGGTGACCGGGATGTTTGGCCAATAGGCAGAAGACATGGTTGAGGGAGGGCGTAACCCTGAGCTGGCGTGGCCAATCAGTAGTTGACAAGCCTGGGGTGGGGGCGGGTCTCAGCTCTGTCCCCTAACTTGAATTTGGCGTGTGGGCTAGGACAAGCACCCGGAAGAGAAGAAAGAGGAGTCGGAGTCTACAGTGAACTCCCCAGGAGCTGCCGAAGAGGAGGTGTCGGAGGACCCGGAAGGCGAGAAAGACGCAGACAGCAGTGATGTAGGAAGCTTGTCCTGCTCGCCAACCCGCGCCCTAGGCCCTCGACTGGGAGAAGACATGGAAGCGTATGTCCTGCGGCCAGCGCTGCGCGGCCGCATAGTGCAGTGCCGCATCAGCCGCGACAAGCGCGGCGTAGACAAGGGCATGTTCCCTTTCTACCATCTCTACCTGGAGGCGGCCGAAGGGCGGAAGGTGCGGTCTGACAGCCTCTGGAACGAGCTCCACCTCCCAGGGACAAGCCCCGCCCCTTTCTGAGCCTTGTCGAGACTTAAACGATTCCAGGCCTTGCTCGTCTTTGAGCTGGGACTTGTGAACTCCAACGCCAAGCCCCGCCCTTCACAGAACTTTCTGTGAAAGTCTCCTTTCTCAGTGGCCTTAACCAACCTCATTACTAGGCTTCGTCCCCTCTTGAGATAAGCCTGCCTTTCTCAAAGTCTCAGCCTTGGTCTCAAAGTCTCAAAGTCTCTTTGAGTCTCAAAGTCTCAGCCTCCAAAACTCCACCCCTTACATACCCTCTCAAGGTATTGGCCCCATTGTGTTTGGCCCCTCAAAGAGCCTTCTTATCTATCAGGCCCCACCCATGCCTGGGATAAACCCGGCCCCTCAGGAACCAAGCCCCTCCCCCAGAGCCAGACCATGTCCCTCTCAAGCTGGCCAGGTCCCCCTCAGCGTGGTGGTCTCTCTTCAAAGTACTCTCCCTAAAAGAGGCCATTTCCCTTCTGGGTAGTGCCAGACTTGCTCTTCCCCGGTGAAATGCCTACCAAAGTCCTGCAGTGTTCCACTTGAGGCTCTTCCCTATTCTCCAAAGCGGCCCAGCCTGGCCACAGTTGGGCTGCCCTCTGCCTGGGCTCAGCCCTGACCCAAGTCCCAGTTGCGGAACGGATGAGGGGGAGATATTAAGATGTGAAGCGCCGCTTCCGGACCTAGCAGATGACTTCGTTCAGAGAGAACCACATCTCCCAGCAAGGCTTGAGATATTTATTGCTCCATTACCCTCTCCTCTGTCACGGGGACGTGGTGTTTCCTTGTCTTAGACCCCTGCCCCTAGCCGGATACCAGAAATCAATCCCGATGGGCTGTTTTTCCTATCCACAGCACTTCCTCCTGGCTGGACGCAAGAGAAAAAGGAGCAAAACCTCTAATTACCTCATTTCCCTGGACCCCACAGACCTGTCTCGGGATGGGGACAACTTTGTGGGCAAAGTCAGGTGGGCAGAGCCCTGATATGTGTGAGAAACGGGGGCGGGGGAGGGGCGGCGTCAGGGGAGAAGGGCAAGTGAACTACATTTCCCAGAAGGCCACAGAGCACAAGCTCCACCTGTTCAAGGACCTTTTGTCTTAGACTGATGGCTTCTGTTATTTCTTCACGTGGTAGCCCCAGGGTGGTTGGGAATAGGAGAACTAAGGGCTTTGGAGCAGAGGTTGACATTTAGGACAAGTTCTGGGGCTGCCTGGGTGGCTCAGTCTGTTAGGCCCTGGACTCTTGATTTCGGCTCAGGTCATGATCCCATGGTTGGTGAGATCTAGCGCTGAGTCAGGCTCTGTGCTGACAGTGTGAAGCCTGCTTGGGATTCTCTCTCTCAAAATAAATAAGTAAACTTAAAAAAAAAAAAAACAAAAAACAACCATTTGACTTCTGGAGAGGCAAGGGGGGGTGGGACTCCTAAGTTCCTGTGGGAGAGGGCTGTAATGTATGGATGTAATGTAATGCATGCATTCTTGAATCTCTGGGGGAAGAAGGTTCCAGAAGGCCAAGGCAGGAGGCTAAAAGTCATGGCTTATCAAAGAAACAAAGGGGCTGGGACTGTGGATACATGGAACACAAAACTTAAATCTCAAGCAGAGGGTTAACGGGAAGAGTTGATGACATGGGAAAGCACTCAAAGTACAGCAAAACAGTAATTATTATTTTTGCTCTGACCACCCCCCCTCCTGGAGCAGATCTAATGTCCTGGGCACCAAGTTCACCATCTTTGACAATGGAGTGAACCCTGAAAGGAAGAATTTTGTCCCGGAGACCACTCGGATCAGAGAGGAGCTGGGGGCTGTGTGCTATGTGAGTTTCCTGGAGACAAGAGAGAACGAAGCAGGGCGGTGGGGAGGAGAAAGAGCCAGGCCAACTGGAGCATAATTCCCACAGGAGACCAACGTCTTGGGATTCCGAGGGCCCCGGAAAATGACTGTGATCATTCCGGGAATCGATGACCAGAACCAGAGACTCCGCGTCCAGCCACAAAACGTGAGTTGGCTAAGGCTGAGACTGTCTGGGTCAGTGGGAGAGGAAGGTCTGGGTGACTGGCCATAGGTCCTAAGGGAGAAGGGGGCCCATGGCTTGCAGAAGGTCATATGTGAAGCCAGAAGGACTTTGTTAGACTTCTATGTTTCCCAGAGAAGAGAGACTAGAGACTCAAAAATCTGCATCTGGAGGAAAAAGGCCCATTGGTGGTAGGTTAAACAACCCCCCTACTTTATCTTCTAGGAGCAGGAGTCACTACTGTGTCGCCTCCAACGGGGAGCTAGCCAGGGATTGGTCCTGCTACAAAACAAAGCCCCTTGGTGGAGCTACAGGAGCGGCGCCTACGTACTCAATTTTCACGGTCGAGTCACTCGGGCCTCAGTCAAGAACTTCCAGATCGTGCATCCGGATGACCGTGAGCTCCTAAGAACTGTTTTACCTGGGCGGGGGGGTAAGGGGAGGTTGGAGGGTGGCATGAGCCGACAAGAACTACATCTCCCATCAGCATTTGAGCGTTTGTCTAGGCTGGGCCGAGTCCATGCTGTTGCAAAGCCTGTTGGGAAATGCAGTTTTTTAAACGGCCCTGGGTTTCTGGGCTTAGCAGGTGCGCCGCCCAGCCTTTGTGTAGTTCTGGAAGCTCAGAGGACCTCGGAAGGGAATTGAGGGGTGGGGCTGGGCTTAGATCCTGACTTCCTCCTCAGCCGATGCCCTCGTGCTCCAGTTCGGCCGCGTGGCCCCAGACACGTTCACCATGGACTTCTGCTTCCCGCTTTGCCCCCTCCAAGCCTTTGCCATCTGCTTGTCCAGTTTCGATGGAAAGCTGGCGTGTGAGTAATCCAATGAAATACCATACCCTCGTCAGCTTCTGTTGCCTGCTCATTGGGGGAAAGGCCCCAGTGCGCCTTCTTTTGCACCACCTTACTATTAACACCTCGTACGCTGCCTGGGTGCCCAGTTGTGTGATTCAGGGAGTGGGCTTTTCAGCAGCACCTGCTTTCCCGGGACTCAGAGTCGTGGGAGATGGGTCTTAAACAACAAAAAATCAAAACGCATCTTAAGAATCACGAGGACCGATTCTGGAATCGCCAGAGGGGGTCGGGGGTGGAACATCAGGCGGGTAGGCATAGCTTATACAAAGGTCTCAAAGTGGAAGGAGACTTGATTGGCTTGGGAATATGAAAACCTGGGGAAGCAATGGAGAGGGGGCAGGGCCCGATGCTGGACAAAGGACAGGATGTTTGGGCCATTCTTCTTTGAACTGTTGAACAGATCTGAGGTCAGAAAAGACTTCTGAGTTGGAGGCAAACTTGAATTCAAGACATGCATGGGTGAGAGAGTAATTACAATACTGGCTAACACCTGTATAACATTTTGTTATTTGGGGGCGCCTGGGTGGCTCAGTCGGTTAAGCCTCCGACTTCGGCTCAGGTCATGATCTCATGGTTTGTGGGTTCAAGCCCCGCGTCGGGCTCTGTGCTAACAGCTCAGAGCCGTGGAGCCTGTATCAGATTCTGTGTGTCCCTCTCTCTCTCTGACCCTCCCCCGTTCGTGCTCTATCTTTCTCTGTCTCAAAAATAAATAAACGTTAAAAAATAAATAAAGCTCAAAAAAATTTTGTTATTTGGCAAGGATTATTTTTGCCAGTTTTTTTTAAATTTATTTTTTACCTTTTTAATGTTTATTTGAGAGAGAACACGTGTGAGCAGGGGAGGGGCAGAGAGAGGGAGAAAAAGGATCCAAAGCCGACCCTGCACCCAAAGGAAACAGCCCGATGCGGGGCTCGAACTCACAAAACGTGAGATCATGACGAGCCGAGGTCAGATGCTTAAGCAACTGAGCCACCCAGGCGCCCCAATTTTTATTTACTTATGTTTTAAGTTTATCTATTGTTTTGAGAGAGAGCACAAGCAGAGGAGGGGCAGAGTGGGAGGGAGAGAATCCCAAGCAGGCTCCATTGCCAGCACAGAGCCCAACATGGGGCTCAGTCTTCTGAACCACGAGATCATGACCTGAGCTGAGTCATTTGCTTAACCAACTGAGTCAGCCAGGCACCCCTGGCAAGGATTGTTTTACATATGAACATCTTGGGGTGTCTGGCTGGCTCAGTCATGAGAGGGTATGACTCTTGATCTCAAGGTTGAGTTCAAGGCACACATTGGGTGCAGGAATTACTTAAAATCACTCAGTAAGAACTCCTTTGGGGCCTTACAATCCTGTAACATATGTGCTACTGTTAGTCACAATCTCTGGAACAGGGCTTATAAATATGAAATTGGACAGCTGGGAGCCTCAAGCAATTCACCATTTAAATGGCCAATAGGAGGATGGGTATATTCCGGGGAGGCATGGAGGACTAGAAATGAACCCCCCCTCCCATTTTTTTGAACGTTTATTTATTTTTGAGAGAGAGAGAGCGTGAGTGGGAGAGAGGCAGAGAGAGAGGGAGGCAGAATCCAAAACAGGCTCCTGGCTCCGAGCCATCAGTACAGAGCCTGACACGGGGCTTGAACTCACAAACCGTGAGATCGTGACCTGAGCCAAAGTCAGATGCTTTACCCACTGAGCCACCCAGGTGCCCCTGAACCCTTGTTTTTTTGTTTTTTTGAGATTACTGAGTCCAGCTCCTAGCCCCCCTTGGGGAGATAACTGTCCCAAGTTTATTTGAGAGAGAGAGAGAACGGGTGGGGTAAAGGCAGAGAGAGGGGACAGAAGATCCGAAGCAGGCTCCATGCCAACACCAGAGAGCCCGATGCGGGGCTTGAACTCACCAACAGGGAGATCATGACCTGAGCTGAAATCAGACTTACCTGGCTGAGCCACCCAGGCGCCCCTGTCCCAAGTTTAATAAAATTTAGGCAGAGGCCAAAGAAAAATTAACAAGACCCACCAGCCCTTAGTTCAAAAGCCTCAGGACAAGAAGCAAATTTGAGTGATGATGGGAAATACAGTTTATTCTCTATTGAGTACTCTCCTTTATCTCGAGGGTAGTGGAGATTGTCAGTTCAGACACACACAGTGGCAGGGACATTGCTTGCTACAAATCACAAAGTTTTATTTCTTATATAAAACAATATACAAAAAATAAATAATTAATATAAACATGAAACTACATGATCTTAGCCACGCCTCCCACTGAGGTCCAAGCCGGGAGACAGGGACAGAGGGGCGAAGGGAGATGCCGTAACAGGGCTCAAGGCTGTGGCCTGGACAGAGGACAATGGTAAGATCTGGGTAGGAGCAGGTGTGGCGGCCAGAGGAGGCGTAGGGTTCCCAAAGCGTGCCCAGGCCCTGGCCCGGGCAGCAGGAGTGAGACAGGGGCCCAGCTGCTCCTGGGCCTGAGCAATGCGACGGGCGAAGCGACTTCGATCTCGGGCTAGCTGCTCCCAGGGTCCCCGGCGGGCGGCCCGGGCTGGTCCTGCCCAGACAGCCAGGAGATGGACAGAGACCTTCTCAGAGAAGCGTACCTGAAGGGGGACCAGCACAGACACAAGACGCACATGTCCACAGGGAGAGGGGCGGGGGGAAGGGACCGGGAAAAGAGAGAGAGAACCAAACAAAAGTTAGTTACACAAGAATGCTTGTGATCTGGTTAGTCACCTGCTAGCCATTCACCCACCAGATCCGGCCCCCTGCAGATGGAGGCGGTTGGTTCCCTGATGCTGACAATGAACCACAGCTGCCCCCTCTCCTCACAGGGGCCCAGCCTCTTGCAAAGGATTGCGTTACCGTGAACACAGCCCTCCCAGCGGAGTTCACATGCAACCCTCTGCAACACACAGGGGACCCAGAAGTTGGGGCGTTCAGCCCCTCCCCCGCCCCAGCCCAGGAGCTCCAGGAAGGAAGATAAGAGTTCCAGCCCCTCCCTAAGACTGGAGAACTTGAGCCCTCAGCACCCACCTTTCTGGCCTTTACGGGAGGCTCAGGGTCAGGATGCCGGGTGGGGGTTTCCGTGGACTTAAGTCGCCTCTGCAGTCGGATGGGTAGCCGAGGGGGAGCCCAGGGAGGTGGTGGCCTTTCTCCAGGTAAATAGATGGCCACTCGGAAGGGGCGGGGCTCAGCTTCTCCCTGCTGCTTAGCAACTTCCCTTCCTTCTGTGTCCTCTCCCGGCCGATACATCCAGCCCCTGAGGAGGGCGCTCTGAGCCTGAAGGGAGGGACTCAGCGCTGAGTCAGTGGCTTCTGAGTCATCATCCTCCTCATTCTCATCTTCCTCTTCTGTGTCCTCTCCTGGCCGATAAACCCAGGCCCTTAAGAAGGTACCTGTTGGGGGGACAGAAGAAGAAGCCTCAGCTTCTCCCTCCTCCTCAGCTGCTCCTGAGTCACTGAACTCCTCTTCCTCCTCATCCTCCGTGTCCTCTCCTGGCCGATACACCCAACCCCTGATGAAAGGATTTGTGGATGGGATGGAAGAGGGACCCTCAGCTTCTCCCTCCTCCTCAGCTGCTCCCGAGTCACTGGATTCATCTTCCTCCTCCTCCTCCTCCTCCTCCGTGTCACTCTCCTGGCAGTCCCTGAAGAAAGTATTTGTGGATAGGATGGAAGGGACCCTCAGCTTCTCCCTCCTCCTCAGCTGCTCCCGAGTCACTGGATTCATCTTCCTCCTCCTCCTCCGTGTCCTCTCCTGGCCGGTACACCCAGGCCCTGACGAAGGCATTTGTGGATGGGATGGAAGAGGGACCCTCAGCTTCTCCCTCCTCCTCAGCTGCTCCCGAGTCACTGAATTCATCTTCCTCCTCCTCAGACTCCTCTCCTGAACCATGCTCCCAGGCCCTAGCGTGAAAGCCTGAAGATGAGGGGAAAATGGAGCTCTTTGTGGCTTCTTTATTTTCTGTTCTTCTTTCCTCTGTCGCTTGACCCTCTTCCTCCCCAGCACGATACCCCCGAGCTTTAGGCTTGGATCCTGGAGACAAAGGAAAAGCAGGTGCTCTGGCAGCTTCTTTCTTTATAGCTCCTCCTTCCTCTTCCTCCTCCCCTGGACAACACTCCCAGGGTGATGGAGGAAAAGAGAAAAACGTGACCATTTCAGTTTCAGCAGCTCCTCCTTCCTCAGACTTCTCCTCTCCAGGAGGGTCCTGCAGGGCTCTTACTGGAAGGGTAGGGGAGAGGGGAGCAGGCTGGCCACCTACAAAGTCACTTGCTTGCTCTTGAGGGACACTGGTTGTTTGCTCCCCACCATCCTCTTCATCACCATCATCTGAAAGTCCCCAGGCTTCAAGGAGAGAACTACTGGCTTTTAGATCGTGGCAGGCCCCCCGGAATGCGTCTCCATCGTCCTCAACTGCTCCACCGTCTCCAGTCTCCCCTGGAAAGTGCCTGCCCTCCGGGGCACAATGGATGCCCACAAAAGTCTGAGCCGCTCCCTCCAGACCAGCTTCTCCTTGATCGGCTCTGGCTACTGGTTCCAACAGCCAGGGTTCTGGAGGTCCTGGGCCCCTCAGGTGGCTCCAGGCCCTGCTGAGAAGGCCCATCAGCGGGGACAGGAGGAAAAAGGGGTGGGTACCCCTCCAGGGGGCAGACTGATGGGGCGCTTGGCCTGGGGCCATCTGTCTGTGCTGGGACAAAAGGAAACAAAGCTCAGAAGCCATTTAGGGGAGAGCATCATGGGATGACTGTGAGTCACAGCCATGGAAATAGTGACACAAACAGCAACGTGAGAGTCCCTCCCCCACATTCCTTTCTGAGCCCTGCCACTCCCTTCTCCAGCAGAGGTAGACGGTTCCCACCTCCTCCCCACCTCCGTTCTCTCAATACCCAGGAGTCTGAGTCCCCACTTCTCTCATTTTTCTTAGGCCCAAGAGTCCAAGCCCCCCCAGCCTCTTCTCTCAGACTAAGAAGGCTCAGTTTCCAGAACTGAGAATACAGGGTCTCTACTTGCTTCCCTTGGGGACAAGGTCCTAGCCCCTGCTTCTCTTATCCATCCTGAGGACTGACATATCGGGCCCTCAAGACCTTCCTCCCTCTGAGACTCAAACGTTCCGACCCCCTGCATGGTTCCATCACTGGGGATCCAGGAGTCTGGCTTCCAGAGCCCTCCTCCCGCCAGGCTCCAGGCTCCCAATCCTTTCTCCTTCCTAAGTCCGAGCCCTGGAGTCCGTCCTGGCCGCACCTGTTCCCAGACGCAAGAGTTCAGGCTCCCAGGCCACCCTTCCTCGGAACTCACGAGTCCCGGCCTCGAACCCTCCCGTCTACGTACCTAGAAGTCCAAACTCCCTCTTTATTACTGACCCGGAGTCTGATTCCCAGCCCTCAACCCCTCAGGGCCCTGGCGTTCCGACCCCTCACTCACCGACTCCGGGCTGCGCGTCACCCTGGGGGCAGGAGGGCCGGCTCGGGCTGCCACAAGCGATCGCGGATCTGGATGGCTCGGGAAGCCAGCGCGTTCATCTCGCCCTCCGGTGTCGGGCTCTGGGACTCACGTTGTCACCGGCTACTGCAATCGCTGTCGCTGCAAAGGAGATCTGGCGTCCGGCAGGTACATGAGCTTGATCCACAGCTAAGCTTCTGAGAACTGACGCAGCCCGCAAGGCTTTTATAATCCGACGCGACCGGGCGTGCAGACGTCACGGAGAGGCGGGGTTTCGAAATCTAGTCGTAAGGGGTGGGTAAAGGAAAGTTGGAATTCTCGCGGAGATTCCGGGTTCTGTGACGACACGGGGACGTTTCCCAGCGTGACCACGCCCCGAAACAGGCGAACTGTCAATCAAACGCGGCGACAGTGTAAGCAGCCGGGCCGCTCTCCCAACTCCTGTCGGGGTGGCAAGACGCCTTCCTACCCCTTCCCAATTTAACCAGCAGGCCCCAGTCTAGAGTCTTCCACCTTCGCAGCCGGTCCGTTTCCTTCCCGGTGAGGGAGAGCATCGGTTCCATTTCACAAATGAGAAACTGAGGCTGGGGAACGAAGTCGCTTGCCCAAAACGGTCATGGCAGAGCCTAGACTTGACTGTGAATGAAAACAAGCATGTAAGCACCCTGAAGTCAGGCATTTGACTTTGCTCACTGCTTTTTTTCCTCAGTGCCTGGAACAGAGTAGGTACTCAACAAATATCTAGTGAGTGGATTCTTTTTTTTTTTTTTTTTTTT